ACTTCATTATATTATTATAGCGCCATATTTAAATTACTGTATTTATAGTACTGTATTAGGAAACATTTTTAAAGGGAAAAACATGCCAATACCAGTGTCTGTTTGATGATAGGGGGGGGGGTGACAAGGCAAAAACCGAAACCTTGCTCAAGCTTTACCCTCCACTGATTTGTGGTGTGCTTTTCTACAAAAAGTAAATATTAAATATAAATTTCATCAACCTAGCTGTAACGGTACTCAAGTTATCGTGTTTACAGACACATACACACAGAAGTTTAAATTAAAAAAAAATTTAACACTGACATCGCTGTATAAATAAATTTTAATATTTTTTTAACAAAACAAAAAACAAACACTAGTTTGCTTTTTATTTAATTATTTATGAATGTATTAGCTTACTTAACGATATTTTGGATTGTAGTTATTAGTTGTCTTTCTTGAATATTTTAAATTAAAGAATTGAAAATAGTTCTGATGAATTAATAAATCAATTGCTAGGTTCTGAACTAGATGCATTAAACTTTTAAAACGTCCTAGACACCGGCCTTTATTTTACAAAATTTCAAAGTACTCTGTTCTTTTCTCTAAACAATGTTTTTGTTTTCATTTCACGTTATTTTATATATATATCTGTAATACTCTATTTATGACACCATTATTATATTATATATAGTGCCATATTTAAAGTACTGAATGTATAGTATTGTATTAGGTAACACTTTTAAAAGGTAAAAGCATGCCACTACAAGTGTCAGTTTGGTGATAGGGGGGGGGGTGGGAATGACATTTTATACTTTATTAAAATGCATAGGAGTTTATTAAAAATAAAAAAAAAGATGAAGGCAAAGATTTAAGCAGCGATCAAACATTGATAAAATAAATTTCTCGTATATATTTATAAAAATCAATTTTTCAATTCAGCTGGCTGCCTCATTTAAAAATGAAGTAAAAAAAAATAAAAAACGGTTTTAACTCTAAAAAAATGTATACACGAATTCTAATATATTTAGATAATAAAATAATAAACAATAGTTTGCGTTTTATTTAATTATTTAATTATTTATGAATTTTAACTTTTAAATCGTCCTAGCCACCGGCTTTTATTTTACAAAATTTCAAAGTACAATGTGCTTTTCTCTAAACAATGTTTTGTTTTTCATTTCACGTTATTTTATATATATCTATAATACTGTATTTATGACACCGTATAGGCCCTATATAGTGCCTTATTTAGAGTACGGTTTAAATAGTACTATGTTAGGTAACACCTTTAATACGTAAAATAATACCACTACGAGTGTCGGTTTTGTGATGGGGGCGGGGGGGGGGTGTGGGGTGGAAATGACAAGCTAAAAACCGAAACCTTCCTCAAGCTTTACCTGCCCCAGATCTGCTGTGTGGTTTTCTACAAACAGTAATCGTTTAAATAGGTTGGTTCGTCTAGTTATCCAAATATTACACTTTATTAAAATGCGTAGGCGTTTGTTATGTTTTATGTTGTTTTTTTTTATCTTAATCCCCCCCCCCACCCCTCAGACATGTAATTTATAGCGTGAGTTTGCCTTGTTATGTTCGCTTTAGTATTGCTGTTTTCATCATCGGCTTGCGAGGACTGATACAGATTTACAATAGTAATACTTCTTTCTGACATGTTCTTTCATTATTTTAGGATAGTTTTCTTATACATAATACATTCCATCGATTTACAATTATATTTTTAGCAGAAAATGCAAATGTGTAATTTAATGTTATGTTAAAATTGCGTTTATTAAAGAAAGAAAAAAACGTGTTCTCTCCTGAGAATCAATAGATCTTACGGTTAATGAAATGAAAGTATTGAACCTTTACTGGTCTACGTATCAGTTATTTGATTTAGCTAGTTGTTTTCAATTAAATTTATTTTCTAATTTAAAATTAAGAATTATAAAAGCTTAAATAGCAAAGTAAATTTTATATGCAAATTTAAATTTAAAAAATAAGTACCCAGCTCATTCTAACAGAAGGTAATCTTCGGACAAACGGTGATAAGGACTTGGAACTGGACCGCATCTCTCTGCCAGACAATGAAGATTGCCAGGTTGTGGGAGACATGAACAGCCACTCTCAGAGCTGGGGTACCCTGACCTCAAAGGAAAGAAAATTGAAGACTGGCAAGCAGGAAGGCTTACACGTCTAAACAACCCTGATGACAAACCAGCTTTCTAGTCTGGAGCACGGTCAACCTCATCCATCTCAGACACAGCTTGTGCTACAAACGACACCAGCTGAAAACTTTGCTACAAACGACACCAACTGAAAACGTTGCTACAAACGACACCAACTGAAAACGTTGCCACATTTTACAATTTTACAATTGTTTTGTTGAGTATTGTCAATAACTGATACCTCAACAAACGACTGGTGTGAGGGTGACACCACATTTAATTAGTTACTAGGAAAATTGTTTTTTTTTTACTTTAAATAATTTTTTTTTGTGCAGAAAATGATGCCACTTGTTAAATTGGAGTGGGGGGGGGGGGGGGGGGGGTTGCGGTCGACACCAAATGCAACTTTCACAGAAGAATGTAATGGTCAGAACAAAATACACCACCCACCAAAGTGGTTGGTCCTGACATCACATTGAAAAAAATTGCAAATCAACAAATCAGTTGATGGTGGAGCGTGGCGGCTAATTAAAATATCAATTCTAAATTGCTCATCGAACACGTCATTACGCAAATGCCCCCAGCGTAGAGGTAGCGTGTGGTGGGAGGGGGGAGTGACACAAGTAAAACAATAACTGTTAATTAGATATTGTAAGTTTGCTTCATTAATTTAAGATAAAATGCCAATTATTTAATTTTAATTTTTGTATTTTCTTCTTCTTCTTCGTTCTTAATTTGAGTGTTCTAGATTTATTCCTAATTTTTCTAATTGGTATTGGCAGCCTATGTTATACTAAATGTGTGTGGATATTTTACTATTTAGTTATTTCTATGCATTTTCACTAATATCGTTCAACGTGTAGTAAAGCACATTGCGTTTTGACCGATAACTATTTAAAAAAATATTTTTCTCAAACAAGCATAGCAATACAAAAATATAAGCCTATAATTCTTTAGTAATGCTTGCAGATAGCTAGTATATATATATATATATATATATATATATATATATATATATATATATATATATATATGTATGTATATATGTATGTATGTATGTATATATGTATATATATATATGTATATATATATATATATATATATATATATATATATATATATATATATATATATATATATGTATATATATATATGTATATATATATATATATATATATATATATATATATATATATATATATATATATATATATATATATATATAAATATATATATTGTTCGGAGGGGGGTACACCCGTCCTGACGACGCCTCTGTTCTAGGACCTAGAGTGTTTACTATTTACAATTATTTCTTTTATAAAAATTAAAACAACACAGTTTTTTATTTTTTTTATTTTTATTGATATTTTATTATTTGCAAAATGAATAGTTATAATATAAACAAGAGAGAAAAATTATGCTTAACCCTTATAGCTCCAACTTATTTTTTTCAAAACTGTATTCCTCAGCAATACATAGGTCTACTAATAATACTAATATTACTTTATAATTAGTCCACTTGGTCCCAGAGATTATATTTAAAAAGTCTGAAGTATTTTTTTTTTGGAAATATTTGTAACAACATGCAGGGGTTATAAAAATGCAAAAAAAAGTATGAAGTATATGTGCAAATAGCATAACGTGACATCAAAAAATATGTGAGTGGGTATTAGGTAAGCATTTAGACTTTATTAGTATAACTTGTCAGACAAGGTCAGGTTCTAAATCAGAAGAACTAGATTTAAAACCATCATGTTCAGTTCATCAATTACTAATTACTTGAATTACACTCGTAAGATTTTACTACATCAGCATGACTATAACTCCCAACTGGCCTTTCAAAGCTATTTTGTCAATTATTTATAATTACAGACCTGCACACACAAAAAAATATGGAAAATTTATAAAATTAAACTAAGTTCTGCCCATAGCTTTTTGTGCTTATATTTAGTATCCGTTTGTTGCAATTCATGCCACTGGGCATGAGTGAATTGAAATATATGCAGCTAGTGTTGAGGATAGAAATGGAAAATATCAGTCTCAGGGTTGTAAGGGTTGAAGAGTCAACAATTCTAATATATTAACAAATAGAACATTCTAGTACGTCAACAAGAGGAAAAGAGCAATCTAGAATATCAATTTAAATAAACCGGTAGTGATCTCCCCTAAACTTTCTCGAATATTCTTATATAAAACAACAGGGGATGGTAACTGGGGATATAGTTATGATCTTTAATCCATTTTAAATACTGAAACTTTTAAAAATAGAATAGAATCTCAGTAAAAAACAATTGCGCACCAAGCGAACGCCTAATAAAGGTGTGTATAATAGTGCGCAATAGTATTAGTACTTTATAAATTTACATTAGTTTTTTGAGAAATCGGAAGTAGCGTAAAGTACTACTTCCGGTCAACGGAAATTACTCAAAATTTAACAGAAGGTAGAGAATTAGATCTTTTACTTACATGTGAAATTTCATTTATCTATCTGAAATAGTACTCAAGTTATAGGCTTTTGAAAAATTCAAAGTAGAAAAAGTACCACTTCCGGTTATCCGAAATCGCTCAAAAGTTGATACGGATCTACGATTTTGATATAATACTTGTATATGAAATTTCATCAACCTAGCTGTAACGGTACTCAAGTTATCGTGTTTACACACGGACACACACACACACACACACACACACACACACGGACACACAGACATACGGACAAGATTGCAAAATTATGTTTTTCCGTATCAGTGAGATGTAAAACGTCGAGATTTGCAAAAATCTCGATTTTTTTTTTTTTTGCACGATTACAAGACTTTCTCTATACTTCGTATATACGAGAAAGTAAAAAAGGCAGCATCATTTTTGTTTCTTTACATCTGAGTTACTGAATACCCTGCTAAGGTAAGCCTCCTGCTGCTTCACAACTTCTGTTTCACTCACTTTTTGTTTGTACTTTAACATTTGTCTGTGATGCTTTGAGACTAGTTCTTCTATCTCCATTTGTTTCTGATCAATCAAGGCCAACTGCTCTTCACACAAAGCAGTTTTCTCTTGGAGTTGTACTTGAAGATTATTATTTTGAGAATATACATCTGATATCTCCTTTTGTAAGGCAGTACATTCAAGATTTAAAGAAGCAGTTGTTTCACTCAGCTTGTTTTCTAGTGATGAAATATGTTGAAGACTTTCTTCAAATTTTTCAAAAACCAGCTGTAACTTGGCCTGTGTTTCACCATGACATCTACATTCCTCTTCCAGTTTTTCTTGAAGATTTAAATAACTATCTTTATGAACATACTTCTCCTTTAGTTCATTTTGTAGTTGGGTGTAAACTTCTTTAAGAACATAATCTTCAGTAATTGATTTCTCAAGCTGCTCAATTTTTTCTTCTTGAGATTTCACAGTGGATCAAAATTCACCCTACTTTCATTCAAAATGCTTATGCTATTTTTAAACCAGCTGTTCTACTGTTGACTTCTGTGTCAATAATACATCTGTGATTTGTTTATGGACGATCATATAACTAGGCATCGTACCAGCATTGTTATTAGATCTACTTAAATTTATTGCCAAAGATTTGCTTTCAGTATACTCTGAGCTAGATCTATCAGAAAAACTAACAAAATTCTATAACATCGATTGAAATGAACCTTTTAATTTATATAAATTAATTTTTTAAAACCAGCTAGCGATTTTGTTTAAGGTTGTTGTCCAAATAAAAAATTTTAATAAAAAAAAGGAATTAAAAACTAAACATTTAATAAACACATTTTAATATTATTAAAAACCAAAATAATAGACACTAGTTTGCCTTTTATTAAATTATTTATGAATTCCTTAATTTATCTAAAGATATTTCAGATTGTAATTATGAGTTGTCTTTCTTGAATATTTAAAATTAAAGAATTGAAAATAATTATGATGAATTAATAAATCAATTGCTAGGTTCTGAACTAGATGTATGAAACTTTTTAAACGTCATAGACACCGGCCTTTATTTTACAAAATTTCAAAGTACTCTGTTCTTTTCTCTAAACAATGTTTTAGTTATCATTTCACGTTATTTTATATATATCTATAATACTGTATTTATGACACAGTATATATAATACCATAGTTAAAGTACCGTTTTATAGCACTATGTTAGATTACACTTTTAAAAGGTAAAAACATGCCACTACCAGTGTCGGTTTGGTGGGGGGGGGGGGGGGGGGATGACAAGGTAAATACCAAAACCCTGCTCAAGCTTTACCCGCCCCTGATCTGCTGTGTGGTTTTCTACAAACAGTAATCATTTTAGTACATTGGTTCGCCTATCTATCCAAATGTTACACTTTATTAAAGTGCGTAGGTGTTTGTTATTTTGTATGTATTTTTGTATCTTAATTCCCCCCTCCCCTCTCAGACATGTAATATACAGCGTCAGTTTTACAGTTTTCATCATCGGCTTGCGAGGACTGATACAGATTTACAAAAGTTATATTTTTTCTGGCATGTTCTTTCATTCATTTAGGAAAGTTTTCTTATACATAATACATTGCATCTATTTACAATTATATTTTTAGCAGACAATGCAAATGTGCAATTTAATGTTATGTTAAAATTGCGTTTATTAAAGAAAGAAAAAACAAGTTCTCCCCTAAGAATCACTATATCTAGATCTTAAGGTTAATGAAATGAAAGTGTTCAATCTTTACTAGTCTACGTGTCAGTTATTTGATTTAGCTTGTTGTTTTCAATTAAATTTAGTTTCTAATTAAAATTAAGAATTTTAAAACGTTTAAACAGCAAAGAAAGTTTCATATACACATTTAAATTAAAAAAATTAGTACCTAGCTCATTCTTACAGAAGGTAATCTTCGGACAAACGGTGTTAAGGACATGGAACTGGACCGCATCTCTCTGGCAGACATCGAAGATTGCCTGGTTGTGGGAGACATGAACAGCCACTCTCAAAGCTGGGGTTACCCTGACCTCAGTGCTATAGGAAAGAAAATTGAAGAATGGCAAGCAGGAAGGCTTACACGTCTAAACAACCGTGATGACAAACTTCTATTTGAATTAATAAGAGGATCTGCATATATATTTAATTCTCTTCATGGAGACCATAGAAAACACCACACAGCTTAGCCACCACCCTCATCCCCACCTGTCAGGTGAGCTGTGGTTCACCCCGAATGTTTACAATCGTAGAGCTGGGTTAGTGAAGCTATTAGGTGCAGATAATTTAGTATTAAACGATTTGAAACGAAGGGGAGGTAACAATTTCTGATTGATCTTTTCTTTGTCTGTAAACAGCTGCTTTCACTGGGCGGGATGGGGGGGGGGGGGGGGGAAGGGGCCGTAGGGGATAGTGTTGAATTTAAAAATTTTGAATTGCTAATAACCAGAAAATAAAACAACTAGATGGCGGCGGATACTACGTCGCGGGTCAGCTCGTTAATATATTTTTTTGCAAAAACTGATGCCACTTGTTTAATTAGAGGGGGGGGGGGACCAAATGCAATTTTCACAGAACAATGTAGTGATCAGAACGAAATACACCACCCACCAAAGTGGATGGGCCTGACATCACATTGAAAAAAATTGCAAATCAATAAATCCTTTGATGATGGAGCGTGGCGGCTAACTAAAATATCAATGCTAAATTTCTTATCGAAATTGTCATCATGTAACAGCCTCCCAGCGTAGAGGTGTGTGTGTGTGGGGGGGGGGGGGTTGGAGGGTGACACCAGTAAAACAATAATTGTAAATTAGATCGTGTAAGTGTGCTTCAGTAATTTTAGAAAACATGACATCTTAAATTATTTTTTTTTCGGAGTGGGGTACACCCGACGTGGTGACGCTACAGCCTAAGACAGGGGTCGGCAACCTTTTGAGACGGAAGAGCCAAAAGTTACAATTTACAAGATTTCCCACCTTTTAAAGAGCCACTCGCATTTTTATTGCAATATTATGATCTCTAATGTGGATTTGGTGTATATATGGTGTATATATATAAATAAATAAATAAATAAATATATATATATATATATATATATATAGATAGATATATATATATATATATATATATATATATATATATATATATATATATATATATATATATATATATATATATATATATATATATATATATATATAAAGCAATGTATGTATGTGCGTGTGTGTGTCTGTTTTTCTTTTACGTATTAGTACACCTTTCATCTAATCGCCATGAATTTTTGGGAAGTTGTTCAGATTACTCTTGTGAAGGTATCTGAGAAAAGAAAATGTTAAATTCGCATGTGTAGCACCCCGGCAGGGCGCTATTCTATTGTTATATATATATATATATATATATATATATATATATATATATATATATATATATATATATATATATATATATATATATATATACTGTATATAAAAAATAAAAGTCGGATGTGGTTCGACACCGTTCATCCGAGTGCCATGAAACTTGTGGAGTGTGGATGAGAATACTCACGAGAAGGTTTCTGCGAAATAAAAAAAAAATATTACTATTCGCGGCGCCAGGGAGAGTGCATTTTATGTCAATTCACGTTTTGGCGACAAGAGTTCCATATCGGCTATGTTAGCACTTGGCATCCATTAATCGGGCGTGCTGCAAAGCGGGTAAGGAGTACTAGTATATTCAGATGCAAAACAGCAACAAACGCAACCACCGGAGCTTCGTCGATTGCGCGACCCAAAGCGCCCTGGGCTCACATGCGAGCAATATGGAGCCTAATTTCGTTTTATAAAAAAGGCTGACACTAAAGACATGAGGGGAAACAACAATCGTTGACTTAATCAAATCATTCACTCCGGCCTTTTGGCAGGGGGCGATTTGGCGCCCCGGGCTTACTCGTGAGCACCATGGCGCGATAGGCTATAGATACAATGGGTTGCTATAATCGCTCACTAAATGAATCAGGCGCGTCTTCGACGTCTCTGCAGGTTGCGATTTGGCGACCAGGGCTATCTTGCAAGTACTAAGCGCCTACCTTATTTTAAGGAGCATTCTACAATACGACATTCGATGATTAAACCAAGCGGTAGTGTAATCAGGTTCACTAGAGCGCTACTTTCCGTCCTCGACACTTAGGTTGTGAGTGATTAACGGTGAATGATTAACTTACACTAAGTTACACTCAAGGCTTTCATACAGCAGGCCATAAAGGTGGGCGGTAGTGTAGGTAACCAGTGCCGCGATAAATATGACCCAAACACAGTTTTGTTTACATTTAAGTAACTCAGTTTTATAAAAAAAGGAAGTACTTTGGGAGTGAATAAATATTCTAATAAAATAGCGAGTGTTTATTGTTTATATTTATTATTATATCGTTCATTACCGAGTGTTGCAGACTATAACTTTTATGAGTTTTAAAAATGAAATACTATAATTTTTATATTTGTGCTTGAGTTGAAGAGCCGCATCTTGACATCAAAAGAGCCGCATGCGGCTCGCGAGCCGCAGGTTGCCGACCCATGGCCATGGACTTAGAGTATGTACTATTTTTCATTATTTTCTTTTTAAGTAAATTAAAACAACAGAGCTACACGGAGAGTTGTGACTCGAATATGTAAATGGAAAAATTATTTAAACTGAACTTTTTCATCATGTCTACAATTCAATTCTTTAATTTAGCTAGCTGTTTGCAATTAAAATTTGAACCTGATAATAATCTATAATTACAAAACAAAAGTTTAATCAATCATTTTTATAAGAATTAAAATAATTATGTTTTAATTTACACTGTAAATAATGCTTTGTAGCTTTTAAAATTATTTATGAATTTCTTTGTACATTTAGCCATTTTTGGGAGCAAATTTATAGGTTATCCTTCTTGGTTAATTTAAATTTATAAATGAAAATTACCGTAGGCGAATTAAATAAATACATTTTCTTGATTTGAATATAATTCATCTGAAATTTAAATGAGCAAGATATACGCCTACATTTTCCATATACAAATGTATCTATGAATATAAAGGCTAAAGTGGGAAAATGTTTCTTAGTTTGTATTTGATAGTCAAATATGTGGCTACGTGTTTAAAGCAAACTGACATCTTTCATGAATAAAATAACATTGCTAGTTTGATGCTGTTTTTAGAGGCGTTCGAAAAAAGGGAATTCTTCGTCTTCTCTACAGCACCGTTATAACTCCTTGTAGCGAACATTTAATACAGAAAATAAACATATTGCTGAATAACTAATAATATTTTATTGCTTATCTCGTATATTAGCTTTTCAAAGTAATTTAACATTGCCCTTACCTGATATAAAGAGTTAAACCTGAGCCGAGATTCTATCAACAAAACTGTCAATATTTAAAAAAAACAAGTTCGCTATCAAGGTATGCAAACTTTATTGTGATTAATTTAATGCAGGTACAGTAGTA